TCCGCGCCTCGGAGCGCCGTTCCGGGCCCCTGGGGACAAAGGACCCGTTAACAAAGGGCTCGCGCGGCGCCCCGGCCCCTTCTCCCTGCGCTCTGGGTGCCCCAGCCCCTGGCTGGGCTTTTGGAGAGGATGCGGTGGGGGGATAGTTTGTGGTTTTTTTAAGTCCCCAGAGTCGCTCACAGCGTACGGGTGCGAGTCGGTTTCTTTTCTTCTTCGTCCCTTCTCTCACGTTGGTCATCTCCTCTTGGAAATTTAACGCTCGCGCGGCGCCCCGGCCCCTTCTCCCTGCGCTCTGGGTGCCCCAGCCCCTGGCTGGGCTTTTGGAGAGGATGCGGTGGGGGGATAGTTTGTGGTTTTTTTAAGTCCCCAGAGTCGCTCACAGCGTACGGGTGCGAGTCGGTTTCTTTTCTTCTTCGTCCCTTCTCTCACGTTGGTCATCTCCTCTTGGAAATTTAACATCGTAAGCGATGATAACTCTGAGATTTTTAAGAGCGAGGCCTGCGTTCGCGTTTATCCGCAAGACCGACCTGGGAGATCTGTGATGCCACTTGCTCGGAGACAAATATTTAATGAAAATGTGCCCGATAGGGAATTGTTTGTTTAGGAAAGGTCCTCTGCTTTTTCCAGGGTAATGTTTAATCAGCGGAGTCATGGGGCAGGTTTGTGGTTTAAAGATGGAGGAAGAAAACGAAGGAAATGCATAATTTTTGTCTTAAAGCTGACCCAGGTTCCTGTGTATTTTTAGCTCCCTGAATGATGATGTGCTCTCCTTACCCACTTCTTTATGTACAAAGAGCTGGCATTACTTTGGCCTGGGGAGATGCAGATGGAGAACGTTTTCTTTGAGTATAGTGTTCTTATTCTCTCCGTCAGGATTACAACAAAGAACAGAAGCTTTCGTGACCGTCCTTGCATAATTGTGATTTTGGCTTCCATAGCAACTTTTTAGGGAAAGTTGTCTGCTGGTGGTGGACTACTGAAGATGTCGAAAAGAAACCCTTCAGTAAGCAGCAATTTAAATGAGCTTTCATCTTAGGTACAACCCTCTAGTGCTAATTTGAAGTTGGTGTTTCACCTGACCTGCCATCAGAAGCAGAGTTGCAGATCGAACACCATCAGCAGCAAGTCCCAGATCTTGCAGATATTTTTTTGGTCAACAATGTAAACGAGAGAGAGGTAACTGAGCTCCTGTTTACAGACTACCGCTGGGAACTTCTCTACCAACTGAAAACAGGGGCAAGCTCTAAACTTGGGTGGAAATGGGGAACCTGTTGCGAAAAGTGACAAGGCTGGCATTTGTTTTTTAAGAACAAAGGAAAATTGCTGCCTGTTCCTGCAGGTGCCGGCCAGAACCCCGTCCGGCAGGCGAGCGTCGCTGCGGGAATCCCTTACTCTGTGCCCGCCTGGAGCTGCCAGATGATCTGCGGGTCAGGCTTGAAAGCGGTATGTCTGGCTGCTCAGTCCATACTGACGGGAGACTCCAGCATCGTGGTCGCGGGAGGCATGGAAAGTATGAGCAAGGTAAAGCAAACGATTGCACTCGTGTTGCGCTGACTTGCCGGGAGCGAACAGAGTGCAGTGATGTCGAAACACGGTATTTCCAGGCTGGTGCTCTGGAGGCAGGTTGAAAGAGGAGCTTCAGTTTCTGCACTTGGGAATGAGTTCACACATGCCACAACTGACTTCAGTAGCTTGTTTTGTTTTTTTAAAAACGGCCTGATGCTGTAGCTACCGAAACACACACGTTGTTTAAACTTCCATTTTAATTTCCACCTAGCCCCGTTGTGGTGAATGGTTTGCTTCTGACAGCTGGCAATAGATGGGGGTTTTTGTGTTACAAGAAGCCCAAAGAAGGAATAACTGGAAACGTTATTGTTCACCAAGCAATTTGAGCTTGGAAAGGAAGCAAAGGGCTTTCGTTTCAAGGTTTTCAGCCCAAGGCTATATCGAGGAATGGGGCTGGGCCGGGTGATATGATCCCTAACAAGGGAGTGGCCTCTTCTGCCTGCCCGCTCTGGCAGTGATGCCGCCTAGAGCAGACTGGTGGGCTGGGGGCTCATGGCCGTGTGGCCCCAGGTACGAGTGATTTGATCTGTGGAGAGAAAACCTTTGGTGCTTGGCGATCTGCTGCCAGGGGAATGCACAGGCCAAGCAGAGCGTGCCAGCTGGGAGACTCCGAAGGGAGAGACGGAGTGGGCATCCGGGGAGACTGCTGGGATTTGGGGTAGCTACTTGCAGCCGCAAGGCAGGGGTCTGTCTCTTCAGCTGTCTGGCTGTATTGCACACTGGAGATACAAGGCGTCCCAACTCCTTTCGAAATACCTTCTTGCAGGCTCCTCATGTAATTCACATGCGAGCTGGGGTGAAAATGGGAGAGGCTTCCTTGCAGGACACTGTAATCCTTGATGGCCTTACAGACGCTTTTTATCAGTATCATATGGGTATAACAGGTAAGTGGTGACGGTCCAGAAAATGAAACAGTTAATTGGGGAGTGGGGAAGAATTCACTGATAGGAAATTTCAGAAATCTGATGTTTCAAATAAGGTGTTTCAAGCTGTGCTTAAGTTGTAGTCGTGAAAAAGAAAGAAATCGCTAATATCGAAAGGCATTGGAGGCTTTTTCTGCTTTGTAAAGCTACTGGCTTCCTTTTTTTCTGTCTGAGCTAATCTCACTGCAGCTCTTTCACATCTGAGCAAGTTAATTTAAATTCAGGAAAAACAAACAAAATAATCCCTGTACTCAACTGAAGCTTTCAGCAGCACAGATTTACAGTGAGGGGGGGATTACGTAAAGTGTACTGTGGATACGCACGGTTCTGCAAGTCCAGGTTATTGCATCCTGGCCAACTGCTTTTTGAGACCCTGCTTATGAAACAGACTAACTTCAGAACCGTTCCCTTCTCTGAAGCAGCTGTAGAGAGATCAGAGCATAATAATTCCAAGAAGCAATAAGCTAGAAAAGCTTGCTCGCATTTGTATTTAACTTGATGCACTGCCTGGGAGGAGATCCCGTGCAGAAGTTTTTACCCTCAAAAGAAAATAGAGGATCACGAGTAAACAAAATGAGGAAATCTGAATGAAAACTGTTCAACCAGCTTAGCGGCTTGCCACAGAAAACATTAATGACTATCTTTGTGCTTACAACTTAGAATTTAGCATTCCCTGATGACAATTTGCATTTTGTTCCTATTTCAGCTGAAAATGTGGCCAGTCAGTGGCAGGTCAGCAGAGGGGAACAAGACCAGTTTGCTGTACAGTCGCAAAACAAGGCAGAGGCAGCACAGAAAGCTGGCTATTTTACAAAAGAAATTGTTCCTGTTCTTGTACCTTCTAAAAAAGGTAGGTGTGGCTGGATGATGAGAGATGATTTTAAAGAAAAATCTGTGTTCTGCTATGTCTGCTTCGATCAGGGGATGGTTTCCCAGTTATGCAGCCCTTTCTGTAGGCTGTTCCATAAGCGGGTAGCCCGTTGCTCTCCTTTTCAACTTCCAGCGGTTATTTTTTTAAATAAGAGAGAAACAATGCAAACGTGGAATATCTAAATGTAGCTCTCTGCAAATACTACTACTGTCTGTTTTATTAGGGATGTAATTATTACTCAGGAAAACTGCTGACTTAACATAGGCTTGGATAAGGCACCAAAATCAGTCTTTTCCTTTCTTTAGATTCCGGCTGCACCAGACTTGAAGCAGCCATGTTGGTCTGGCAAACCTTGCCCACCTAGTAAAAGGCACAGTGACAATAATTAGGGTTACTAGGTAATTAACTGGGTCAGGTTACATATATTAGGTATGTTCCTCTTTAGGTCTGTTAGGGATATAAACAGACCTGTTAAGGTGCTTGAGCAAAAGGTCTGCTTCTAGAGCAGGGGAATTCCCCCAGCCCC